TTATTATTATTATTATTATTATTATTATTATTATTATTATTATTATTATTATTATTATTATTATTATTATTATTATTATTATTATTATTATTATTATTATTATTATTATTATTATTATTATTATTATTTATTATAATAATAAGAGTATATATTATTATAAAATACTAATATTATATAAATAATAAATTTAATTAAATATATAATTATATAATAAGCTAATAATTTATTAAAATAATAAAAATATTTTTCTATTTTATTATTTATTAATTAATTTATATTTATAAATATTATAGAAATTAGAATAATAAAAATATTTAAAAAATATTTAAGATATATTAAGGAAATATTTTAGACATTTTTAAAAAATTTTAAGAAAGTTTTAAGAAATTATTAAGAAATGTTTAGGAAATTTTTAGGAAATCTTTAAGAAAATTTAAAAATTCTTTAAGGAAATTTTAAGAAAATTTTAAGGAAATTTTAAGGAAATTTTTAGGAAATTTTTATAATTAATATATTATTTACTTAGTATTTATAGCTTTAATTTTTATTTATATATTTATTACGAATATCTATTTATAATATTATAGTATTCTTAATTTATATAGTACTATTTTAAAAAGGTAAGTAAAATACTTCTATTTTAATAAACTCTTTACTTATAAACTTCCTTAAACTAATTATTCCTTATTATCCCTTAATTTTTAATTATACTTTTTATTTATTTATATTTTTAATAAAGATCTAGGTAGAAGTAGTGGGGTTTATTTAGGAATCTATTTTATTATTATTAGAATTATTAGCGGGGTTAGGCTAAATCGGCTTATTTTTAATAACCTTATTATTTTAGCTTATTTACTTAGGGGTTTTAAAATGTTTTAAAAATAATTAATATTAAGTATAACGATATATAAATATTAATAAAGTAACTTATTAAAAATATCCTCGTTTAGTACGAAATTAGGGTAATAGTACTTATAAAATACTAAGTAAATTAGCTCGTATATATTAAGAAGAGAGCAAGTTATAAAATTTAGTTAAGAAGAGTATTAATTAAAAAATAAGTTATACTTATTATAATTAATAGTATCCTATGATTTATAAACTTAATAACTTTCCTCGGGGCCAAGCTTAATATTTATTTTTATTTAAATAACATTTTATTAGAAATAGTTAGTTTTATAAACTAGAAATATTTTAAAAATATTTCTATTTATAGTACCGTTCTTTTTAAAAGGGATAATAAATAACGCTTTATTATTTATAATAGCCTTAGGTTTTGAGGGGGTATTTAGGGGCGTATTCTAGCCCTTTATAAGTAATATTATTTTAGTATAATATCCTATAAAAGATTATTAATAAAACTAAAAATATTAACGTAAAATAGGAAGTAACTTATAAATAACCTTAAAGTTAATAGTAATAGAGAGGGATCTTTTATAAGAAATCGTAGAGTTAATATAATAACCCCCTTTAAAGTATTTTTTAAGTATACTAAGAAACGATTAATAGTAATTATTAAAATAAAAGTTATTAGCCTCTAGATAGTAATAATAAAGTTCTCTTAATAATAAGATTACTTAACCTTATTATTATAAAAATAAGTAAATAAATCGTATATTTAATTATAATAATAAGGACGAAACTTATACTATTAGTTTTAAATATAGGGAGATTCTTAGGCCAGCCCCTCTTATTATTAATATAAAACTTAAAGTTATTATTATTATAATAATAAAAAAGTATTATAAAATTAACTTAGAAATATTTTTAATTAATTATTAATAAATTTCGAATATAATAGTAAGTTTTATAATAAAGATTTCTAATAAAAGTTATAATAAAGAGTAAAAGTTTAAAAAAAGGGATATAACTTAGCTAGGGTAAAAAAAAAGTATAAGTTAGAATTATTTTTTATTAATTAAGTAGTAGTACCTTAATTAGCTATAATTTATTTTTAAAATATTTCTAGCCCGAGTACCCTAAAAAAAAAAAAAACGAAGTCCGATTAGTTAAATTTAACTAAGATCTACTAATATCTAAGTACTTACTATTATATATAGGACTCTTATCTTAACTAGGGGGGGTTATTATTAGTTTATGTATAGACTCCTTGCCGAACCGTGCTTTTTTAAGCTCTCTCTCGCTCTCTCATTTCCAGATGCCACTCAACCCCACCATTCTCTCTGTTAGCCCCAATTCCATCGACACCTTACAGATTGTGAAGCCCTCAATCCGTACGAACGGAACCACGGATAATAAGTTGTAATAGTCCCTTGCCCGCCTTGTCTCCAGCCTCCCCCGCCAAAGAAGGAGCCCTATCTGCCAAATAAATCACGCTGGCGGCTGATCGAGGCGAACGGGAGGAGACTTGGGATACGGTGATGTTCGCCATACGAAACGTACCCCCATTTTCTCGATCGACGGAATCCTGTCCTGTCTGCCAAGTTCCAAGTTCTTAGTCTCAGAACTACGAGGCCTCCCTTTTTGCAAAGCTGCCCTCTTGTCGTCCGTTTGCAGACAATTGGTCTGCCGTACCAAGTAGCAACCATCACCATGCTCCCACTTCGCGCGCAACCCTACTCCATGTCGAGCTGAGAAAAATCGTCCTACGGTCTACCAGTCCCAGAGCTGGAGTCAACCTTATGAGACGGGGTGATAATCACACCTTACGGAGCTGACCGTCCTGCCATGACCATCATACATGGAGGCGATGGTAGGGGCGTCACTCTTCTTTCCCCACGAAAGCTGCAACCAAGACCCCTTCTTCGGTACTATAGCCGCATACACTTCGTTATCATAAGAGGCTCCCCTTTATCATAGCCGGCGTCTGTTAATGGGGGGGGGGGGGGGCAGGCGGTTGAGACGAGCGAGAGATACCGCGCTCGCGCGGCTCAAGGGGAGCCATGGGAGGGGGAGCCATGGCTCTGACGACGGAATTTGGCGAGACGAGCGTGGACGATCTACGAATGCCACAGTACGACACCGTGGTCAATCCTCAAGTCTGAGCTTCCGTGGACATGGACTATCAAACGCCCAGCTCCTCATTCCTTCGTGAACTTGTCCCCGTCGGAGTAGTCGCAGCCCCAATCCGTGCCTCCATGTCGACGTCCGCAGTTCATCCACCCTTTGACACTCTTCCCAGCTCCATCCCAGCTGCAGCGTCCCGCGTGCGACCCAAAAGAAGAGAGAAAAGGCCAACAACCTGCGCGGTAGATCTTCTCGTGTCATGTCACACCCCAAGAGCTATGATTATCGTTGCTCTCGCTGCGCTCTTCCTGACCTTGCCCATGTCCACCTTCCTCCTTCGCGCCAGCGCCAGCGCGGTTTCTGATACATTTCACATGCTAAGCGAAGGCCCCTACCTCGATGTCACGGACATGCGCGAGGCCATTCAAGAGGAGGGGGGGTGCTGAGAGGTTGTGATCTGCGTCTGGGCTATGCGTGCGCAGGATGCGAGCGCGGCTCCACGGTTCGATTGCATGACTGGTTGCGCACTACTCTATTCGTCCATATTGCAGAAAATTTTGGTGATTGATGGCTTTGGTGGTTGTTTACCTGACCTGCCATCCGGTCTCACGCAGATGGTCTTTGCATCTTTTTCACAGCCACAGTCAACTCGAACTGTCCACATGCATAGATGTACGTTAAGTTTAGAGGTGGTGGTAAGCAACATCAACGCCCCAAAGCAGAATAAACCGTTCGCCGTAACGGGAATACCCTCCTGCACCTTGGCACACCATCTCCCCCAAAGGCCGTCCTCTTCCCAAAAGAGTTTTCGCAAGGTTACCGATTCGTTGATAATCAGGGACCGAACGCTTCTAGAGTCGTCAAACTTCCTGTTTTCCGTGCAGATGTTTGCAGATCGCTTCCCCCTCCAGTATTGAATTCATGAAATGTAAAGATTGCACACACGCCAAACGCGAACCGGACGGTAGGGACCGGAGGCGGGCTGCACTTCGCCTCTCATCCCCGCACACCCCAGATGCGAGATGCGGGCAATATTTAGAAACACGTACGCTACGAGAAGGACTGGAATGCGGGCCTTGGGGCCTTGAGTGAAGTCGCTGTAACGTAACGTGACACCGAGCTGAAATCGTTGTATTGGTATCGAACAGCATAATGACACAATTGCATCATCAATAGTATGGAGTTTACACTATCTGAGCAAGACACGCAACAAGACTGATTTTCGCAGGGTGATGCTCCGTTGACCTTTACGAAATGAACTGCTGAGACTGGTGGCCGCGGGACGTTGATGGTCCGCGGAAGCGAGAGACAGGAAATCCAAGACCGGGCCAAGAGAGCGAAAGACACGGATTTGTCCGGAGACCAACGAAACATTTCGTCTCAACTTTTTTCTGTGTGTCTCTGTTTGTGTGTCCCCTCCGCGGCTCTACCTCTTTCTCCCTCCGTCGCGGGCCAACAATCTCTCCTAGATCCGGACTCGACTCCGATCGCAGACAACTTGACACAACAGCAGGCAGTCCGCTCTTCGAGCCCGCTGTTCATCAGGCGCGTGTTTCAGAGGAGGGCGAGGGAGAGAGGTACGGAGTACGGCCGACAGGCTTCACCCTGATGCTAATTTTTCTTCTCGCATTTTCTTAACCTTTTTGTTTTCTTTGGGTGGTTCGCCCGTGGGACCGACGGGATGCTGTGGGAAATGTACGGATACTTTACGCTTCTTTTTCTTCTGCGTCGTTCGCCAAGCTTTGGTCTTTATCTAGTATACTTTTTTTTTTCGCATGGACTGATTCCAAAAAAGTCCGTCCCACGGGATATGGAATGTCTGGTCTGAAAATGGCCGTATCGGCCGGCCGGCCGGCGGGCGAATGGGCGGGCGGTTCGGTCGGTTCAGTCTTTTACGGCTAGGCGCTTGAAGCCCTTTTCGTAGACACAAGTTCGTCCACGGTCCAACACGGGGCGGACGAGGTTTTGCCAAGATTGCGAGGTTTATCGCGAGAGAGATTAGCAGACTATCTTATGGAGTACTCCGTATCCGTACATCGATTTCGTCGAGGCCCCATCAACAACAAATCCCCGGAACTTTTCCGATTTTCTGTTGTTTGCTTCGGGCATAATCGAGCCATGGGGCCCAATGCATTGACACCAAAGCTTGGCAGGGCTGTGAGGGCTCGGGAACGAGATCTTGAGCCTGTCTGGCCCAGAGATACCATCACGGTAATGATGAGGAAATGATTTTTTCACAACTTAGAAAGAGTCCAAAGTGTTTGCGAATTGCTTCATTTGATTGTTCTTGATATGTTTCATAACATTTTTGTAAAAGAGTCTGGTATCCGCCTGCTAAAAATGCTAAATCCCCGTTTTTTCTTTTCGCCAAATGATGCCCCAAGGGTATTGTAGTATCCTGTACACTTTCCTCCTCGTATCTTTTTCCCATGGTAAAAACAATTCCGCTAATGATGCTATTCCAATTCCGCGTTCATCAAAAATCCCCAAAAAGAGCCCACTCGCCCTAGCCCCGCAAGGACAGACTGCGGCATCGAAAAAAGAAGTGAAGAAAAAATAATTGGTAGCAAACAGAAATATTGACTTTCCCCATGCGCGACGACGTCAGAGGCGCCCACCAAGCAGGGACGGAGTCGACTGCGGAGAAGAGAATGGTCGTGATTGGGCGGGATTGAGAAAAGCGCGCCATCTCGGTAGTGCAGATTTCGTGGTCACCAAAGGGCAGAGAGAGGAGTGCCCCTCACGAGGACCCCTATGATTCTCCAATGACGTCCGCATCGTCGACTCGTGTTCCACTCCCTCTGTGGAATGGACTTGGTTTGTGTGTGTTTTCCCCCAAACTTCGCAAAGCGCGCTAAAGTTGGTGGTGCATCTGCAGTCGCGAACAGCAGCGCCAACCGACTATTTTCCAGGGTTTCGGGATAGAACCATCGTCATGCACGATGATGTCTTTTCCCCTTTGATAGGGGAGTTGAGAGAGGGGAGACCCTGAAGTGACAAAAAGTCGCTATAGCAAGCGCCGGCAATTGAACCAGCGGAACGAAGCCAATGGGTCGAAAGAGAAAAAAATAAGCCGTGGCTTCTTCTTCCCTTTCGGACCCGCATTCCCTCGTATCCGAGACGAACGAGAAAAGGGACCTTTTTCGCTCTCGGGCACCGAAAAAGAGAAGAAAAGCGGAAGCCGAGGCAGGCGCAGCGGCCTGTGCGTTGGAGGTGGGCGGAAGACCGCAAACAGTGCACAAGAAAGGTACATGAAACTGTTGCCTGTTCGCCCAGCGTTGCCGAGTCTCTTTTTTCTTGCGCGTTGCAAGTGAGAGAATGTGGGGTGACCAATGCGCCAATAGCCGGTTGCGGAAGTGCCAAGGCCCCAGTGTCAGCCAATCCCGCGCCCCGAAGGGTGGGAAAGTGGAGACACGGGGCATCGTGCAGCCAATGGGAGAGGCCGGGCTGTGAGATGACTAACCCTGAGACCTTTTGCTGGTGCAGGTGCATCCCTCCGTCCATGTGGTCGGAAGAACTGTAGAAGGAAAAAAGCCAAGATGCGTGGAAGAAAGGCGTTTGATAAAATAAGTTCCTGACCGGACTCAGCCACTGGGTCGGCCGAGGAGGTATCCATAAGCATCGTAGCTGTCAATTCAGGTCAGATCATGTCAGACCCGGTTGAATGATTGACAGCTGGTGAGATGTGGATACCGGAAGACCCCGTCGGCGCCGACTCGGCACGGCTGTCGACAACTGTGGAAAATGGACGTTGAACGACAGGTTGTGTGCGAGTGCATGTGCTTGTTGTGCCGTGTTGACATCTTTCTGACGTTGCGTGGCATTGGATAATGCTGCTGTAGCAATGTGCCGTCGTTCATGTCCATTGGAGGGCTTGTGTGGGTTGTTTCAACCTCGACGGGGTGACCATGTGACTGAGTCGAGGCCAGGTCGAGAGAAGAATCCAAAGGAGAATGGACCCACTTTGTCCAAGTGCACAGTGCATCCATTTCGATGCTCTCTTTTCAGCCCGTGAGAATAGAATTGAAGTTGAAGAGAAGGGAAAAATGTCCATCAGACCGCGGAGCTGATTGGCAACTCAGACGCGGTCTGGGGAATCGCCGACCTGTAGTGCTGATCCTTGGTGAAGGAATGAGGTCTCCCTCTCAGGGTGACATAGTCAGTCAGACATGACTGTGTCCGTCGGGTCCCCGGACGACTGAATAAGATCCCAAGTCGTAACCGAGCCGAGCTATGTGCTCTCGCTGTGGTGCCTGGCGTAGAGTTGTCCTTCGTATGGTGGTGTACCTCAGTCATGTTGAGGAGATCGGCCATCGTCGGCTGTTGTTGGAGTAGTGTCCATGGGAGTTGCAGACTAGGTTTTGCTGCAGTTGATTGGAATAAAGAAGATGGTGCCGGTTCGTCGTATACTGATCCGTCACCCCCAAGTTACATCCCGACCTATGGGCCACTCATTTGTAGCCGACCATCTTGGCGCAGCGTTCGCAGTAGTAGAGGTTGTGAGCGATGCGGACCATTCCCGTTGAGCTGGAGTCGTCGGTGGAGGTAGCCTCGACGGACCTCGCGCAGCGCAGGCAGCGAAGAACCTCGACGGAGGCCACGGGCCTGGAGATGGAGTCCATGCTGTGTCTGTAGGATGAGGATGCTGAGGAGAGGTCGGAGTCGGAGGATGAGGAGGAGCTGTAGTGGATCTGGGAGGGGCGCGAGCTCGTCGAAGGCATGGTGGTGGTTGTTGGTGTTATTGTTCTATGGTATTGTGGTAGTTATCCCTGTTGGTGGTGGTGTTGGTGGTAGTGCTGATGTTGGTTTGCCTTTGGTATAGTATTCCAAGTCGTTGTATGTTGGAAGTTGGAGATGTATTGCAAGTGCAAGAGTTGGTAGGGAGAGTGAAGTCTCGAGATGTGGGCGTGGGAAGGCTTGATGATATATAATGAAGAGTAACTGTGGGAGGACGAGCAGTGTGGTGTCCAAAGGGGGGGCGTGAGCGGCAGGGGTGAGGGGTTAAGAAAAGAAATAAGGAGGGTAAAAGCGAACACCAGGGTGTAATCTGTGAGTCTGGCAGGGGGGTGGGTGTGTGTGAAGGCCCCCGGGAGGAGAGGGGTGTGCGAGTGTGTGTGCTTGTGAGTGAGTGTGTGTATGGGATCGACGAGAGAACGGATGGTGATGGCAGGCTCAGCGTAATAATGCAAGCTTGCTTGGAAATGTGCAAGGCGCGACGGCCTATGGAACTGTCGGCAAGAAGGGAGACGGCCAACGGTCACTCACTCACACTCCGTTGTCCGACAGAGCCGGGCTTGTGCAGTTTGTGCTAGGAGCAGTGAGTGGTGGGTGATGCCGCCCAGCACGACAAGAAGTCAGAAGGGCAAGGGGGAACTGGTGGTCGTTCGAGGAGAGAGAAGGGGCGTGTGAAGCCAAGCCCCAGCCAAGCCGAGGGAGAGAGACTGTGAGAGATTGTGAGAGAGAGGAGAGCGAGGAAGAACGGAGAACGGAGAGAGTGAGTGAGAGAGAGGGCGTGACGGTGTTCTGCTGGGTGGATGCGAGATGGTGTGGGTGGACCGTCAAAGTGACGGTTCGGTGACTGGCAAGACGGTCGATGCCGATTTGGAGACGACGTGGTGATTACGGATGGGCGCGAGTCCCGTAAAGGGCCTGCGTCAGCGTTTGCTTGGTCGAATAAGACTGGGGTGTGGGGTTAGTTCCATTCGTAACGGATACGGACGATGCATATGCACTATATGCGACAAACGGTGATAACGGAACGGATGGAGAGTCTTACGGAAATATTCGTTCCAATGGGGCGCCGTCCGTCCCACGGAGGAGGGGCGTGTGCAGCTGAACGGCAAACGCAAACGCAAACTGGAGTCCTGGACTGGGGGTTGTCGTTCGATTGGGCAGATATCGGGAGAGCGTTGGCTGCAATATCTGAGTCGTAATACCTAGCTTCCCGTCTTTCTTCCTTTGGGCAGTGCTGAGGCCGAAATGCGTGGTTTGTAACTCGACAAGCACTAGGGTACGGAGTAGTGTGACTCTCTTTTTCTTTCTGTCTTTCTGTTTGAGGCCTGCCTGGATCAGATGTATTGGTGAATTGAGGCCTGCTCGCTCGCTTCGCACGGCGTAAGCGCCGGTAACTGGAACCCTCGGGGATTTTTATTTTTTTCTCGCTAGGCGGTGTTGATTCAATGTGGGTTTTCGATGACTTGTCAAGTTGAACCCTTTCTTGTTGATCAGGTAACAAAACGACAACACGTCGGTGACTGGGCGGTATGACTCTTCCAGACCGGTGGATAGAGTTTCAATGTAAATGAACAACGAACCAGTCGAAGGTAAAAAATTGTCTGCTCAAAGACTTTTTTGTGTCAAAGGAAGAAGCGAAAGTGTTTGTTTACCGGTGAAGACAAACATTCAAGGGGTTGCGTCTTCCTTCGCGGCACGGAGATTGATGGGGAACGTCGGCACTTTTAACACATCTCGCATGGGTTGGATCGGAAAGATGGAGCTCTGAAATTCAGGGTCCAAACCAAAGGAGAATTAAAAACAGAAGAAAAAGTGATTGATCAGACTTCTAGACCTCACTCCTGCTCCATCGTTTCCCGAATGCGCCCTCCCTGG